AGGGACCACAGCTGGTGTGAGGCATTTGGAGGCTCAGTGGCTCAGTTGGCCGCATTTGAAGCACTTTATAATGGGCGTGGCTGCCAGTCTTGTCTACACTGCCTACTTAGTGGCAACTCAATGTCCCAATGGTCATTTGGGAGCCTTTTCCAATGTGGATCTTCGTGGGGGTGAATCTCTAAGTCCATAGTCACCCCATCCAATACCAGTCTTAGATCCAGTTTGGTACTCCCCTATAGGTGCATGCTTGCCTAAGGTCCTGATCCAGGGCCTATTTGAAGTAGTGGATGAAGAGTTGTTCAAGCCAGTCCCGTAGTTTGCCGGCTACTTTTCTAAACTCCCACATAAACTCCTTGGGGGACCGGCTGCGCTGCTTCAATCTCTTGATTTCCGCTTCAGCTTCCTCTTGGTTGGCTGTGTCCTCGACCTTTAGTGACTGCATGAACTCATCCGCATCTTGTAACTTGGGTGCTCCTTCGTCATGGAGTTGGGCAATCCCGTCTGCTGCTTCCCCCTTCCTCATATTGTCTGCAATGGCCGAGATCATCTCCTGGTCTAATTGGTATTGAGCTCCATAATGATCAATATGGGCCCAGATGCAGTTTAGAAAGTAAGCTAGCTTCCCCGGGGTGCAATCAAAGGTAGCCAGGAATGGTGGTGGGGCAGCTGCGGGCAGTGCTGCTGTGGCCGGCGGAACTGGTAGTTGGGTCAGAGCCAGCATCCACTGGCATTGAATCCACCCTGGCCTGGGTAGAAGGCCCATCCTGGGGGGATTTGGTTGACTGGCAGCAGTCCAGGGGGTGCTGCTGGAGGAGGATGGGTGGGCCTTGGTAACCTCATCATTCCTCCCCAGTTACCCGGGCTTAAGTGCCCCAGGGGTCAAGTGAGTTGGCTAGTCGCTGCACCCTGCTGCACTGACGGATTGGATTCAAGGGAAAGGCTGAATCTTGGCCTGCTTAGGGCTGAGTGGAACGAAGCTGAGATCCAACTTTGAACTGCCATGCTCCCTTGCCCTGGAAAGTGGAATGTAGGCTGGACTAGGTTCCAACCTGGCTGGATTGAGTGTGGGGGAGCTTGGGCAACAGGACCCACACTCTGCTGGCCAAATCTCTCGGGTAGCCCAGCAAGTGACTGGCTTCGTGAAGATGGTTGGAGTCCCCATTCCCTGGACTCGCTGAGCTCCAGGAGCTTCGTTGTCCTCTGCTCAAAGGCTATTACGTGTTCAGGATTGCCTAACATCCGTGGAGGCACTTGGGTCATCGCTGCAGCTTCCAATCCTAGTGGGGCTGCTGATCCAGTCCCCTCACCCGTCAGGACTGGGCTGGTCTGTTGGGACTGCCACAGTGCTGGCTCCTTGGGCCAGGCACCCCTCCAGAGCTTGGCCTCCGCTCAGGGGTGAAATGCTTTCTAGCAAAGCTAAATTGCGCGGCACAGCTGTCCCCCCCCCTTGCTGTTCTACTTACCTAGTGAAGTCTTCTTTTTCTGCACTCACCGTGCTTTTGGCCTGCATTTGGCACGCAGCATGCGTTTGGCATGCACCACGCATGCATGGGCAGCGAACCAGCAGCGATCCGAGGAGGATTTCACCACTGCCTGCGCTTCTTCAGCTTCGGTGACTGCAGCCGCTGATGGATAGCAGATGGCCCCACAAACGTTCTCCAAAATGAACCCGGTGGCTCCCTCAGGGGTCGTCATTCCTTGCTCCATTTTCCCATGTTTTCCCCCACCCACACTAAAACTCACACCCTGCCCTGTCTAGTGACATTCACATAATATGGCCCAATCAGTCTGCTCTCTCAGCTCCCACCAAAGTTCATTCACTCCCCTCCAGGTGCCAGCAGCCGACCTTGATCTCATGCGAAAGAATGTTGTTATGATTTACTCCCCTTGCTACTTTCCCATTCCCACTGTGGCAGCTCTGAAAAGTCTGACCAAAGATGGATTCAGGGCTGACAACCTCTTTACCAGCTCTATCTGAATATAATCTAGGAAAAAAAAAACTTTCTTTTTTCAATTAGTTTCTCTACAAATTTTTTATTATGTTTTCTAATCTAAATTTCTTAATCTATTTATGTTTCATGCCTATTCAGTGGCAAATAACCTCAAATGATATTATCCTTTTCTTTAAAAAATTATTTCTCTGTCAAATATTAGCATCAGTGCAAATTTTTGAGGTCAGTCGCGATTAAATAAGTCAATTCTCTCTAAAATGTCTATTATTTTTTCAGTTCATTGTCCCTCTGGAACTGCTGCCCACCACAAATTCTACACAACATGCAATGCGTGAGACAGCTTACTTTATATGATCCTTTCTGGTTCTGCCATCTTACAGCTAAGATGTTCACTTGATGCCATGCAGAGGTGGGTTTCAGCAGGTTCTGACCAGTTTTGGAGAACCGGTAGAGGAAATTTTGAGTAGTTCAGAGAACCGGTACTAAAAATTCTGACTGGCCCCATCCCCATCTATTCTCTGCCTCCCAAGTCCCAGCTGATTAGGAGGAAGTGGGGATTTTGCAGTAACCTTCCCCTGGATTGGGGACGGAATGGAGATTTTACAGTATCCTTCCCCTGGAGTGGGATGGGAATGAAGATTTTACAGTAGCATTCCCCTGCCACACCCACCAAGCCACGCTCACCAAGCCATGCCACACCCACCAAGCCACACCCATAGAACCGGTAATAAAAAATTTTGAAACCCACCACTGATGCCATGCCAAGTAATGTCTCAAGTCTCTTAACAGAAATCTCCTTAAATTGAACTGCTGTTATGAACTGTTGATTTCACAAAGACTGATTTCCTGATATGTCTTCCAAACCAAATGGTAGTTCTTCTGTCATGTTGGCTTTTTAAAAAAAGTTTGAATCCCCTTTGATCACCTCCTTATAGCAGCCCAAGTTGCTATTACAGAATTTTAGTTTGATGTGTCTGTGGTGTAGGTCAGGGGTGGGTTCTAATTTTTTTTACTACTGGTTCTGTGGGCATGGCTTGTTTTGTGGGCGTGGCTTGGGGGGGGTCATGTGACTGGGTGGGCGTGGCTAGCTGGTCATGTGACCGGGTGGCCATGGCTATGTGTATAGGGACTACTCAGAGGGCTGAAAAAAGCCATTTCTGACAGGCCCTCGCACTTTTGACTGGTCCTCACACTTATGACCATCCTCACATTTATGCCCATGCAGCATTCTTAACAACCGTGTCACTCATTTCACAACTGCTTCTCTTCACCATGGTGACAAGATAGGGCGAAAAACGTAAAATGTGAGGACAGTTGTAAATTTGAGGACTTTTTCAGCCCTCTGAGTAGTCCATATGCACAAAAGGATTCAATTATTTCTTTAAAGTGCTGATGATTGCACCCTGGCTGGAAGAACTCCAACAGGGGAGTATTTCCTCCCAACAGTGGTGTAAAAAGTTTAAAACAACCCTTCCCCTTTAAGAAAGTCAAGCAAAAAAATAGCCTCCAGAACCGGAAGTGACAGTAAGTCTAGGCATACTGCCGGAGACGCAGTTTCTGTAATAAAGATTAGGCTAGGAAACAACACCAAATGTTGTAATTAATCCTTACAGGATTAACCTTGTAAAGTGGGAAAAAACAAAAGGAGATTTCTTTTAACAACTGGTTCTCCGAACTGCTTAACTACTTAACAACCGGTTCTACCGAAGTAGAATCCCACCACTGGGTCTACCCATTTATTTTTGCAGGCACCGGTCTACTCATTTGTTTTCTTTTAACACTGATCAGCTGTAGGGCGGCCCTTTGAAGCCCCGCGGCAAGAGTTTAAACAGTTTTTTTCCCTCTAGCCATCAGCTGGGACTCAGGAGGCAGCAATAGATTGGGGGTGGGGCCAAATAAAAGGTAAGAATAACCCGGGGGGGGCAGAACCGGTTCGGTGACGTCATATCATCACCGCTCGGCCGAACTGGGCCGAACCGGGAGGAACCCACCACTGGTGTAGGTGTGAGAAAAGAATAGAATCACAGAACTGGAAGAGACAATTTAGGCATGAAGCCTTCACTCTGGAAACTTCAAAGAATGCTCTTGTGATGCCTTGCAGCCTCCAAAAAAAGTAGGAAGGCATGTATGCCCCATTCTTGCACAATATTTGGAGGTCCAGAGGCCTTGTGAGAGCAAGGCCCCCTCACACAACTTCCAGAGGCTTCAGAGGTCACATGAGAGCACACATCACATCGTCATATAGCCTCTGCAGCAGCAGAAAACCTCAGTCAGAAACAGGATGTGCAGAAAACTAAACAAGATTAGGACCTGCTGGTATGTCAGCAAACATGACATTGCGTATCACTTATGACATGTTTGTCATAGGTTCACCATCACTGGTTTAGGCTCTAAAGCAGGAATCCAAATTCAAGCATCCCAGAGTAATGGCTCCCTAGCTTCTGCTTGAATGTTCCCAGTGAAGTGAAGATCTCTAACTATTGGGATGATAGAGCCCATCATCAGCTTGTGTTATAAATAGGATTTTTTTCCCCTAACATTCCTCAGGATTCTGCTGTCCTGTTAACCTGTGTCTTTATTCCATATCTTGCATGGAAAGAGTTAGGCAAAGAGAACAGGCATTACTTGTATTTATAACATCCTTTCAATTACATCATATTTTCTCAAGGTTAAACATTCCTATCTCCTTCAAATGTTGCTGAAGGCCATAGTCCATCTCTGAATTCTTCTTGGGGGAAAAGGAGAGTGTTCTTGAAATAGTGCCTTGATTATCTGGGTAATATGTCAGTACTAAAGATATTTCAGGTTTTCAATCCAATTTTATCTAGCTGATTTTTTTTTTTTTTTTAGAAAACACTGGAGTTTTATTTGTTTCCATTTGTACTGTATGATTTATTACCCTTTTTGTAGTCCTTGTAAAATGGCCTAAAAATTGTTGAAGTGCAAAATATAAATTCCTATATTAATAGAAGTAAATAAATGAAATGTAGCATACTTAAGAAATCAAAAGGCAAAATAATGATGTAACGCATCTCCTTTTCTTCACAGTAACCACAACTCTGCCTTCTGGACCTGGACATACTAGACAATGCAATGAAACCGTGAAATCCTATTGTGTGAATGGTGGAGTGTGCTATTATATTGAAGGCATAAATCAGCTATCATGTAGGTAAGAGAAAATGTTTCTTTTCTCCAATTCAAAGGTATCTTTGCAGTTAAATAGAATAAAGGACAGTGCAAAAGGACAGTGTTGTATTGGTGGGTATTTGGCAATAAAATTAGTTAAGAGGAGATGTTGGCTGTAATAACATGGCTACTGTTTCCATTACTTTCAGTTTTGTTTAGATCAATCTATAGAAAATTTCTTTTTCAAACCATTTGTTCTGGATCATTAAAAACAATGCCCCACTTTCTCCCCCATCTCCATGTTCTTTCTACAACTCAAGGGTGGCCCGTTTCCTCTACAACCTAGCTACCTGCAATAGCATCATCTTTTTAACAAAAAAACAACTTGATTATTCATAGATCAGTCCCACTCCATAGTTCAGCCCAAATTTCTGGACTGTAAAATTTGGATGGGTACTAGATGGAAGCAGAGAGATGCTGTACAGAAAGTCCTCACTCTTTTCTGCCATCCTTTGGCAATCTATATTTTTGCAGTCCAAATTTGGTTGCCCAGTCACTGTCATAATCAAAATAGCCCAATAGCACAACAAAAGTATCAGCAAAAGACATTGATTTATTTTAGTTCTACTTTTATTTATCTATAATTAACATTAGTAATTATGAAATAAAACAAGGGGAAAATAAGAAACATAACAATTCCAATTTATACGGTAAAGAATGAAACATTTTCACCTCTAAATTTCTGCTTAGAAATGCATCTAATGTAACTGAAAACAGTAACTAAAGGCAGTAACTGAAAGCTGTCATTTCTTGAGGCTTCCTATAAGATAAGTGTTTGAAAAGTAAGTGTACAAATAGGATTCAGGATACAATTTTCTGTTGCTGAGGGTTCTAACAGCAGTTATGGCTGGTGTTCCTAGCTTGTTTTCTAGAGAGATGGTCAAGTAAAAATCTATGGAGAGTGATGCTGAGATTCTCTGTAAGTGTTTCTAGGAATAGAACCCAAAATTTATTTCAAGTGGGCTTGAATAAAGTTGCATAGTGAATCATTTGGAGATTATATTTTTCTAGTTGGTCATTTATCAGGATATTTATCTTCTGGTTGATAGTAATAGCAGAATTATATACCGCTTCACAGTGCTTTACAGCCCTCTCTAAGTGGTTTACAAGTCAGCATATTGCCCCCAACAATCTTATATACCTCTTTTACTAAGATTATTGCCAAACTCACAGTGCATTTTGGCTCAGACCATTGTAAAGAATAATGCTATCCTCTTTCACTTTCTTTAAATTGAGTTTGAATAAGAAAAAAATTAATATTTAAATAAATAGCTTGTTTTAAACCAATGAATGGAAATTCTTTTCTGCAACCTTGCCATACATTTTCAAATTGTTTTTTCTCTGCCTCATTATATCATTTTGTCAAAATGTCCAGCTTTACTTCTTATTTTCTTACCCCTCACAATTAATTAATGTGCCCAATTATTGCAAATGTGCCTAGAAAGCTAATGTTATTCACAAAATTAGTATTTGCAACAACTTTTTAATGGCAATATTAGTAAATTGGTTAGTTCTTATGCTTCTTTGAAATGCTAAAAGTCATGGTGCAAATTAAGAAATGACTTTCTATGGTCAACCAGTTTTTAAAGGTTTCTTGAATGTGATCTCATATTAAATCTTTTTTTAATGATGTTTCTGCATGAGAAAAGATGGGCTTGATACAGTTTAAAGTAAGTGGAGAGAATATTTGATATATGTTGATAGGAGAAATTATGATATTAAAAATTTCCTCAAATACTGTAAAATGAGAGATGCAAAAGATTAACCAAGAACAGATTTCCAAATTGTTTGATAACAATGTCCTGCCCAAAAATGTAGAAGACCATAGGAATATGAAAAATGCTTGGAAAGGTTTGAAGATAATCAACAAGCATTGTAAAGGATTCTTAATGCTTTCTGAGGAGCTTATAAAATTCTGATCTGGCATCATGACATGAAATTCATTTAGCTCAAAGGAATCAGATAAAAAGAATCAAGGCAGAGATCTAACTGAGCCACAGGTAGAGGACAGATAGCCTCTTAAGTACATTTAAATGTAATCATTGAAGAATGCATTTTAAAAAATATTTAATATTGTGTAGTCACTCCTGATTGATATGTTTGATTGATGCCATAGTTATTGTTCTTCTCCTCAATTGATCATGTAATATTGAGAAATCAACACTTTAGTATATGATTTATAATTAGCTAGAACATATCATTAATCCAGGATAGATCTCACTGATGAGCAACTCTGGGCAGCTTACAACATTGTAAAAACAAGTACAAAACATTAAAATATTAAATATTAAAATAAACAGTTTAAATAAATTAAAAACCAACATTATAGGAAATGACATCATTGGGGGATCAGCTAGTGAGTAGAAATGGAACAGAACTAAACAGAACTATTTTTCCAGAACATTTTTTCACAAGCTATTATCCTCACTTACCAGAACCACTGATTTGATAGAATCTTACAGCAGGTAAACTTGATGTTCAGCTTTCATGATTTTCAAGTAACTCCTCATCCCTTTTGATCTGCTGGACTTTTTGCAGAAAACTGATTGATGCCTGAAATTTTAGACTGAATTTCTTCTCATAATTTGATGAGATCATTAATTTACCCAGTTGTTACATACATGCTATTTTCTTTAGGTAGCTCCATAGAATTTGAATGGTTTTGTCACTCACACTCTGTACTGGAGTAGAACCATCTCCCTGAAATGCTTTCCAAATTGAGCTTGGAAGCAGGTTATATGTGGAAATATAAAAGAGTTTAATGGAAGTGTGAAGATATGCTTGAAAGCAATTTGCTGAGTGTTTATGATTCATTATTAACAATGCTAATTTATTTTAATTGATAAAAAGAATGCTTGATCCTATTTTTGGTACACCCATTTCATTTCATTTTCCTTGTCTTCTCTACTTTTATATCGTAGTTGTATTATAAATGTGTTACTTTGTGTCAGCAGGGGATTTATAGGACTTTAGAGCAGCAGAAGGCATGCATCTATTTTGTTGAGTCTGAGATTGTTTTTGACAGAAATTGTTTTTCTGTTCACTTGCATATTTATAATAAAAAGTTGTTATGAAAAATTCCAGCATTCTCTTCAATAAAAATAATCTTTTGAATTTCTAACCTCCTACCACAATGAAGAAAGGACATTTGGAACACCACAAATATAATATTTTCGTATATTTAAAAGAAAATAACATTGTTTTATTCATTGCTTTCAGTGAAATTTGTGAAAGATATAAAACTTGGTTGGTTTTATAATACAAACGTGTTCCATTATCTATTCAATTAACTGTTTTGTTTTGATTCTGGAGCCTGCCAAAGGAATCAATATAGCTCTCATTATCCATTCAGAGCAAAATTTACTTGACATGGAACATGCATTGTGGCTTATGGGTAGGTTTGTCTGTGAGGATTTGCCATAATCATTCTGCCATGTGAGTTCTCATAGGTCAGCAGAGAATGCCTTAGAGTAAAAAGAAAAAGAAGTTAGAGACTCAAACAAAGATGTCAATGAGCTTTCTTTTGATGTATTTTCTTTTGAAAATACCTCCAAAGAAAGAATATATTATTTATATACTTAATAATTTATATACTTAAAAATATTTAGTCAGAGTAGTGAAATGTTTCTATATATCCCCACTTGTCATGGAATTTCTATAAAAAAAGACATTTTAAGTGGATTTGAACATTTAGATTTGTACGAACACTTCTAGAATTGTGAACTACTTTCTGTAACTAGCTACTTCAAGAACCTTGAAATCTTCCCTAGATTTTTGTGTTTGGCTTCTTAAGGAAACACACATTTCCTTTGTCAATATGATTTTCCTTTTCTCTCCCATCCTACTCTTTTGGTTTCTAGAATTTTTTTTCCCTTTCTTTATTAAAATACAACTTAAGTGTCCCTCTTAGACAATTAGAATTATTTTGCATTTGATATAGTGTCAGATATTCAACAATTATATTTCTGGCTTTTTCTCCTTTTTAGCAAACTGCTTCATATTTATCCCATTGATACAATTTCAACATCTCAGTAATCTCAGCCCATAGTTATATGAGCCTATGCCAGAAACAGAGGGAAACATTCATGTTTTAGTAAAAAAAAAAAAAAAGAAAGAAAGAAAGAAAGAAAGAAAAAGAGAGGGGTTTTTTGCCCCAAAATGCTCACTGCAGTAAGAATTGGGGTTGTGCTAGAAGAAAAAGAAGAAACATAAAAGAAAGAAAGAGAAGAAACAGATGTGAGCAAATATGCTAACCTATCATTTAAGTTTTTAAAAAGGTAGCTATTGAGAATAAATGGGAAAGAAGCATGTTTCTGAATTCATTATGATGGTTTTTCTAGACCACAAAATAATTGATTATTGTGTCTACCAAGTGAACTGTCACACTGTTCTGATTTTTGAACTACCGGTAGCATCATCTACTTTTTTATTCAGTCTAATTTTCAAGATGGTTCTTACATATCTTCCAAAGTGGAGAATAATAGGTAGTTTTAAGATCATGTCAATTTATTCAGTAACTATTCACTAAAATACTGTAGGTCCTTAGCCTAGGCCTCATGTTTTTAACAACTAAGTTTGTGCTTGTAATTTCTCACATGCTGTACCAATTGTTTTCTGTAAGGATTCAAAATATGAACTTTCAAAACAAAGCTCTAAAAATTATTATTGTTGTTGTTGCTTTTGTTATTTTTTATATGTATATTGCTCTTCCTCCTGAAGGAAAACAGTTCAATAATACCTTTTAAAATGTGTTTGAGACTCCCTAGAATTGAATGTACTGTACTGCATCATTCCTCTTCATGTTTGTATTCTAATATTTAATCAGAACAAGAATCATAGATCCATTTGGCCAGATCCATATCTTGCTTTTTCCTTCAAATGAGAGCATTCTGCCAGTATTCTTTATTAATGAATTGAATGATTGGAAAAAATGTATGCAAATAAAAAAAAGAGTACATTGCTTTTTGTATTTTGCTAATCTTCTGTAGCATATGTAAAATAGAGGATGGTTCTGTATTTTATATAAATCTGAATAATAGCCTTCCAAAAGCTACTTTTAAAAGCAAATGGCAATGATATCTTGGGCCTCATTGGTTTCACAATATTTTTGATGGAATGTTTGTCCTGCAGCATTGTCTTCCTGAGAATTTGTAGGAAGGATGTTCACAGGATAAACTTTAATTTGGTTGATCCAAAGCCTAAGATACTTGTTAAAATTCGGTTCTGTCATGGCTGGAATGGATGTAATAAAATCATGAACTTGAATGAAACAATCTGTGGTATAGTTTGCCGAAATATTTGTGAAGCATATAGAAGAAATGAAGGAGTAGTTATTTCATTAAAATTTGTTGCATTTATTTGATAGAAAATAAAATCATATTGAAAGTGATTTAAGTCCTGTATTTCAAAATATAGCTTATAGTCATCCATTCTTCCCCTGGCAGTTATTCCTGATATACAAGAATATATGTATAAAGTTTTTCAACTTGCCCAGAAAATGCATTTCAATATGTTACAAAGTCAAAAGTATATTCCTATGCATGATTACCTAGACATAAACTATAACTCCAAAAGGGACCTTCTCTTTGGTAAGAATGTCAAGGTCTTAAGAGATGTCTTCTGAAAAATGCATGGCACTTCAGTTTTCAGAAAAACAACTTTTCTTGTTCATTCACTTTTGGCCTAGCCACTTCTACAACTATTTATTTGTGATTTTGTTGGTTGGTTGGTCAGATACAGTTAGTTTTATGGTTGGTTGGTTGATCAGATACAGTTAGTTTTATGAACATTTTAAATTGAACTCTACACTCTGTCAGTATCAACAACTTTAGAGAGCTAAGATAATTTAACCATTTGTTTGAAGTGGTGTAGGGTTTCCTGCCTAAGCAGGGGGTTGGACTAGAAGACCTCCAAGGTCCTTTCCAACTCTGCTATTCTATTCTATTCTATTCTATTCTATTCTATTCTATTCTATTCTATTCTATTCCTGGCTCAGCTTAAAGTAGCTGAAATTGCTAGAAATCTAGCAATACATACCCCCACCCCATTTTTAACATGCTGGGATTCCATTTCTCTTGTTGCAGTAAACTCTTTTCTTTTCATAATTAGTGTCCTCAGGTACACTAGAGTACAAGCTAGAGGTATATGTTATGACACTGCACTGCAAATCTGTGACTTGTCTATGGTATTTATGTCTGATTTCAGGTCACAAAACGTTGGGGTTTGAACTGTGACTTCATGAGAATGGTTTTTGTTGGTGGATCTAAAGTAGATCATGGGTCGGGAATAGTTTTTGCTTCTTGGTCTCAATATTTCAAAGTTAGCAGAAATGATAATAAGTAATTTGAAGATAATCATAGATCACCTTCAAACTACTTATAAGGGTTTGAGAAATGACATGGTAAAATGGCTAAACAAACCAAATCAAACACACCCCAAAAAATAGGTGACCGAAGCATCGCCCTCCTGCTCTATGCAGATAATGCTGTGATTCTCTCCAGGACCCCAGTAGGCCTTAAAAGAACCTTGCAAGCCCTTCTCCAGTATTGTAATTACAATAAACTGGACATAAATTATGAGAAAACAAAGATCATGGCCTTTGCAAAAAGGCCAAAACTTTATTCATGGTATCTAAATGGCCACAAAATAGAGCAGGTAACCACCTTCAAATACCTGGGGGTGGTCATTCAGGCCAATGGTTCAAGAAAAGCATATGGAGAATATGCAGCTGCTGTGGGCTAAAGATCAGTGAGCACCATTCTTAAATTTTTCTGCACAAAGGGAGGATATTATGTCCCAGCTGCAATTAAGCTTTTTCTGGCCAAGTCGCTAGCACAGCTTCTTTATAGGACCTTGCTCGGACCATCAGCTTCATGTTTTACATCATTAGAAATAGTTCAATCCAAATTCAGTAGATCAATTCTCCAGATGCTGCGTTGTGTCTCAAATGCACTTCTGCGTCTAGAGACAGGATTGACAAAAATCGAAGCAAGAATCTGTATAGCATCCTTAAATCTCTGGCTAAAGCTTAACTTCTTTCCGCAAGATCTTGCTCCATTAATCCTCCAAGACAAGTTCTCTTCATCATAGAACAAGGCTGTTGAGTCCAACCTTGCCAAACTAGGCTTTCCCCAGCTTTAATACTCAAGATGGACTATGATCTAGCAAGGCAAACCTTGCGATAAAGGGTGGAGAACATCGAGAGGCAGGCGGACTTAGGGAAAGCTGTGCTGTTTCTGGCTCCAGATGCCATTAGATGTGTCGCTCCTGCCAGCTATCTTAGTCAGTTGGAGTCAGCAAATCCCCGAAAGCATTTGCACTTGCACGGTGCCATGTGCTTCCATCGGCCATCCTGTATGGCAAGTATAAAAGGATACCATTGATGGAAAGATTGTCCTTGCGGCTCAGGAGAGGTGGAGACTGTGGGTCACATACTCCTTAGATGTTCCTTTTATACGGAGATTAGGAAAAAACATATTCTGCCAATAACTGCTAGGTATCCTGGCCGTTCTGACATTACCTATCTTCAGTGGCTGCTTAAGGATGAACAGTCCATAACTACAGCGCAGGTGGCCAGATTCTGCTCAGAAGCACTGGGGATTCATCGCAAACACGTGTCTTCTCCATCATAGTGATGTTATATAACAATTGTGGTAAACCCTTTGCATTACTTAGTCATTTCCCTTTTAGTGTTGAAACCTACAATGGGCCATACAGTTTAGGGATTCCAACTATTGTATAATCAGACCATGTATAATTGACACTGGATTTTATTATAGTTTTTAGCTGTTATTTATTATTGTATACTAGAACTTGTAAGTGTATATATACTGAGTGCTTTTATCTGTTCTGGTCTCTGATCTAAGACTGTAACAATAAATTGTTGTTGTTGAGAAGTGAAAATGGTGGTGGTGTGAAAGTCTCCTGTGTCACTGATAGCCTCACATATTTCCATCTGTCTATAATGTACTTTGCTTAGTCAGTTGATTATATCAATATGAAATCCAGCTTTAAACAATGTGAATGGAAAACTGGCAGTTCCAAGAGTGCATTGCAGATGACCTCAATTAAAAAAAAATGGACAGAGCATTGAACACTACTTCATGTTCCAGTACTTCCTTTCTGGAAATCAGGTTCATTTTAATCTTAGACTTGAGAGAGTGGCAATTTTCTCAAGTCACACAGCTGAAACAGATTCTGCAAATTGTGGGTACTTACAAGGTTTATAAACTCAGAAATTATGGAGAGAATAATTGCAGATGGAAATCAGCAAAGATTAAATTAAGATGTCTTACATGAGAAGCTTAAAATAAAAAACAGAAATAATTACTGTGCACTTTTATTTCTAACCATAGCCTCTAGGATGATGCCAGCCTTGTTCTGTGATTTGTCCCCTTTTCCTCCTCCAGATGTCCAAATGGATTCTTCGGACAGAGATGTTTGGAGAAACTGCCTTTGCGATTGTACATGCCAGATCCTAAGCAAAGTATGTTTGAAGACAAAAATTATACCATCATACTACTTAAAAACCTCCTGGGTACAACACTGGATTTAGAGTTGCATAGTGAGGGTGTTCTTTTCAGTTAATATCTTAATTAAGGTTTAGGGAACACAGGTAAGGGACCAGCCAAAAACACACACCAGGAGAAATCTTAAAAGGAAACTCAGTTGGCATCAGAAAGGACCTCATTTCAGCCTGTTTGGATGTCATGCTATCCTGTTTCTCTCTTTCTGGTTTTCTTTCTTTCGTTAGGTGTCCGAATGAATTCACAGGGGACCAGTGTCAGAACTTCGCAATGGCCAGCTTTTCCAGTATGTCTCTTTCCACTTCTCTCTTTCACTGATTGGTCTTAGCTGTATGATATTTTTAAAGCAAACTTAAATGATTTGGAGCCTTCATTCTTTTGCTGTGTGTTTAAGGAGTTATTAAGTTCAGTTCTACTCTGAACATTACCATAGTGATGTATAGTCCAGGCATAATAAAAGTTTAGCAAAGACTGGACCAAGTTTAAAGTAAAGTGGCCTAAATTCTCCTAGATAGCTCAGAGGATTTTGAATGAAGACCACAGGTAGAGCCAACTTTGTACTAATCCACCTCATATGTTAGACCTGGAGGCACCTTAGAGTAATCTCAAAGGTAGATATCCTTATATGGAAGCTTTCTTATTACCATTGCACAGAAACTTATTAAATCAGATTGTTTGTGATGTTAGCTTTTTCTAGAAGTATAATTCATTATGAAACAAAGGGCTTTGTGTTTGTTCAGAAGCCATGGCTTATGGTTCAAATGTGTGGCTTGTTCTTACAAAAATGTAGAGAAAGTGAACCTTCCAATTTTCCTCCACCAGAATTTCTTCAGTGGCTTGAACTCTAATTCGACTTCAGTTTCAGACTATTATCTTAGTAGAGTGAAGACTAGGTTGAAGCATAATGAATGTCACTGCTGCAGTGTTAAACTAAGCACATACTATATACCCATGCGCATTAGCTGACAAACAGAATTTTATGTACAGATTTGGAAGATTCCTGCACGTAGTCTAAGTAATCTTTCGCCATCTGGAGAGATTTTGGGATCTTCTGTATCAACACCTCTATTGTTTACACATTTCTATCAAATTATGAAACACCAGGGAAGTTCAAGTTCCTTATACATTTGTCCCCCACATACTCTATTTTCAATTTAACAATTTTTCTAATTTCATCAAATATAATTAAATCTGAATACCTTTGTATAAATGCCAAACAAATTATTATGAGAATCATGATATATGAAATCCCATTCTGTACAAATGTGATTAACTACTTGTTAAATATAACAGTTTGCAATAGTAGCAAAAATAACAGTGTTGCCTTCCAAGCCAGGAAGATTTAGAAAAAAACACTATTCTAATTTCATTTGAATGTTCTGCAGAGTACTAGTTGCTCTTATAGGTATTTTAAAACAAATATTGTGGGAACCTGAGATCTCAGTACAACTTTTATCCTCTTGTGAATAAGGAAGCCTGTAAAGCATCAGTCTTCCAAGAGCAATTACAACACAGCATTCCTGAGGTCCCTCCAGCCCTATGAAATAAAATATATGCTCTAGTGATTTAGAGATGCTGTTTATGTATAACTATATAATATAACCTAGTGGGATCTCTGTATTCATGTTGGAAACATCTACAAAGCTAACCAAAAGGTGCTTCTGGATTGAAAGGATTTGCCAGTGACAACACTGTTGCCCAGGGGATGCCTGATTGCCAAATGTAGTACAATCTTCGGGGAGGCTCCCATCATGTCCCCCAACTCAGTGGTATAATATGTGTGGTTAGGTACAGAAATTTTAAACAGTGCTGTTAATCAATAGGATTAGTAGGAATTCACACTTTACATAATAAAAATATTTTTAAAAATCAGAATCAGCAGCACTGAGTAAAAGCACAAGTAAAAAGCACCATTTCATTCTTACAAATGTTATGATTACTGGATTTTACACTGCCCAGAATAAATCTCTTAGATAGCAAGTTGGGCAACATATAGCATGACATACAGCAATTAAAAGCCAAAAAGCCACCCCATCATGGACAAACACAAACAAGCCACTTGATCAATGCCATATAGATCAACTTCATATGGATGGAACCATATGCAATGAATGGAAACTAATCAAGGAGAAAATCAATCTAGAACTGAGGAGACATTACCTGACAATGAGAACAATTAATCAGTGGAACGGCTTGCCTCCGGAAGTTATGGGTGCTCCAACACTGGAGGTTTTTAAGAAGAGATTGGACAACCATTTGTCTGAAATGGTATAGAATCTCCTCCTTGAGCGGAAGGTTGGACCAGAAGACCTCCAAGATCCTTTCCAACTCTATTACTCTGTTATATCAAGGCAGAGTCCCCAAGCCTGCTGACAGAAGCATGTATATAGGGCCTTTTGGAAAAGTAAAAAGGTGGAGATGAGTTTTATCTGTGGGGGAATGATGTTCCTTTGCAGTGAGATTCATAAAGCAAGCTTCACATACTGTTTTCAGCTGAAGAGCCCAATCAGTGTCCATCACTGTTGACCATCAGTGGAGGTTTTCACATTATCCAGTCTTAGAAATTTCCCTTGGACAGACTAATAACAATCTCTCCAGAATATGTATTAATAAAAAGGATAACTGGGCATCTATCAACTGAAAAAAAAATCAAATAGAAGAATGAAATCATTTTTTATCAAACTGGGGTGGCTGCACAAAGAATTTCTGAATATTGTACACTATGTTGAAGATATAATGTTACATTTTTCTCTATATTTATTATTTATTTATTTATTTATTTATTTATTTTTTGAATTTGTATACCGCCCTTCTCCCTGAGGACTCAGGGCGGTGAACAGCCAAATAAAAACATCAGATACAAATATTAAAATACAGTTAAAAATATATATATAAATTTGGCCCCATTAATTAAAACAATAAACCAAACAATTAAAAACACTTAAAAAGAATTAGGCCAGCCCGGCTTGTTGGAAAAGGAAGGTTTTAAGGGCACGGCGGAAGGCACTGAGGTCATGGATTCTCCTTATCTCAGGGGGCAACTGATTCCAGAGGGTGGGAGCCCCCACAGAGAAGGCCCTCCTCCTGGGGGTCACCAGCCTGCATTGTTTGGCTGATGGCACCCCGAGGAGGCCCTCTCTGTGGGAGCGCACGGGTCGATGGGAGGTCGTAGGTGGCAGCAGGCGGTCTCGGAGATAGCTAGGCCCTATGCCATGGAGCGCTTTAAAGGTGATAACCAACACCTTGAAGCGCACCCGGAAGACCACTGGGAGCCAGTGCAGCTCGCGCAGGAGCGGTGTTACATGGGAGCGCCATGCTGCTCCCGTCACTACCCGCGCTGCTGCGTTCTGGACCAGTTGGAGCCTCCGGGTGCTCTTCAAGGGGAGCCCCATGTAGAGAGCGTTACAGTAATCAAGGCGAGAGGTCACGAGGGCATGAGTGACTGTGCACAGGGAATCCCGATCAAGAAAGGGCCGCAACTGGCGGATCAGGCGAACCTGATAAAAGGTCCCCCTGGTTACAGCCGTCAGATGTTCCTCCAAGGACAGCTGTGTATCCAGGAGGACTCCCAGATTGCGAGCCCTCTCTGTGGGGGCCAAGGACTCGCCCCCAATAGTCAGTGATGGAGTCAACTGACTATATCGGGATGCCGGGAACCACAGCCACTCAGTCTTGGAAGGGTTGAGCTTGAGCCTGTTCCTCCCCATCCAGATCCGTACAGCCTCCAGGCACTGGGACATCACTTCAAGGGCATCATTGGGGTGGCCTGGGGTGGAGATGTACAGCTGAGTATCATCAGCGTACTGATGGTATCTCACCCCAAAGCCACGGATGATCTCGCCCAGCGGCTTCACATAAATGTTGAACAGGAGGGGCGAGAGGACCGATCCCTGAGGCACTCCACATATAAGAGGCCTCGAGGTCGACCTCTGCCCCCCTGTCAACACGAACTGCGACCGGTCGGAGAGAAAGGAGGAGAACCACTGTAACACGGTGCCCCCCATCCCCAACTCTTCCAACCGGTGCAGCATGATACCATGGTCGATGGTATCAAAAGCCGCTGAGAGGTCTAACAGGACCAGAACAGAGGAGCAACCCCTGTCCCGAGCCCTCCAGAGATCATCAACCAACGCGACCAATGCCGTTTCCGTGCTGTGCCCAGGCCTGAAACCAGACTGGAACGGATCCAGATAGGATGTTTCCTCCAGGAATTGCGGAAACTGTCGCGCGACCACACTCTCAACAACCTTCGCCAGAAAGCGAAGGTTGGAGACAGGACGATAGTTGGCCAATATTGCCGGATCCAGGGACGGCTTCTTGAGGAGAGGCCTCACCACCGCCTCTTTCAAGGCCGCGGGGAAGTAACCCTCACTCAATGAAGCATTGATAACACCCTGGAGCCAGCCTCGTGTAACCTCCCGGGAGGCCAGTACCAACCAGGAGGGACACGGGTCCAGTAAACATGTGGCCGCACTAAGTCTCCCCAAAATCCTGTCCACATCATCGGGAGTCACAGCATCAAACTCCTCCCAGATAACATTCTCAAGACTATTCCTCGTCACCCTGCCCTGATCTACCCAGTCAGAGTCCAAGTCCCCCCGGATCTGAGCGATTTTGTCATACAGGTATTGTCCGAAATCCTCCGCCCTGCCTTCCAAGGGATCCTCCCGCGCTCCCAGATGGAGCAGGGAGCGGGTTACCCTGAACAGGGCTGCCGGACGATTCCCTGATGACGCAATAGAGGCGGAAAAGTAATTACACTTTGCCGTCTTTATCGCCACTAGGTAGGTCTTAATATGCGACCTTACCAGTGTTCGGTCAGATTCAGCGCGACTGGCCCTCCAACCGCTCTCTAGGCGTCTTTTCCGGCGTTTCATCTCCCTCAGCTCCTCGGTGAACCAAGGAGCCGCGAGGGATCGACAGCGGGTCAGAGGCCGCAAAGGCACGACTCGATCCAAGGCCCCACCAGCCGCCCGATCCCAGGCAGCTACCAGGTCCTCGGCCGAGTTGTGTGCCAGATCATCAGGAATTGGCCCAAGCTCCGTCTGGAACCTATCAGGATCCCTCAGGCGCCTGGGGCGGACCCATCTAATTGGGACCGCCTCCCTGCGGCGGGGTGTAGCGGTACGAAGGTCCAGACGAAGGAGTGAGTGATCTGACCATGACAAGGGTTCCATGTCTATATCCCCTATAACAAGATCACTCAACCACTGGCCAGAGACAAAAATCAAGTCTAGAGTGTGTCCCCCCCCGTGAGTGGGGCCATGAACTAACTGGGTCAGGTCCATGGCCGTCATGGAAGCCATGAACTCCCGAGCCATCCCAGACGTTTCACCAACGGATGGCAAGTTGAAATCACCCATGACCATAAGCCTGGGTGTATCAACTGCCACCGTGGCTATCACGTCAAGTAGCTCAGGCAGGGCTGCTGCCACGCGGCAGGGAGCCAGGTACGCAAGCAGCAAGCCCATCTGAACCCCATGACCCCATCTCACGAAGAGGGACTCACATATATAAATTGTTATGGAATTTTTAAAAAGTAGTGCTTGGGATAATTGCACCTTGAAAACTGAGATCCAGCACTTAATTCTCCTATATTAAGAACAGAAAATTAGAACTAGATCTAAAAATTAATAAAGGGCAATGAAAGGCAAATTTTAGGTAAATTAACTTAAAAGGTAAATTTTAATTGGCCCATGCTATTTGAGTCTGTAGAATCTGTTTACTGTACACATGATTTAAAAGTTAAGGAAACTTTCCTAACGTATAATTTCCAAAATTTCTGATATATGAATAAATTTATAAACAATTCTAATCTTATTTTGGAAAAAAACAGAGGGGTTTAATTCTAAAATTTCTTTATACTTTGAAATAAAATGAATTAGATAGACTCTTGACAGGAAAGAATAGCACAATTTACCTTCTTTATGACTGTGCCAATGAGGCTTGCATAAGCTTTATTATTATTATCAGTTGCATTTATCCAGTGGTTCACAAAATGTGCTAAGCAGCAGTGTGGCTATTGTTAGTATCAGAAGAGGGTATTCTAAGGTGGGCTGGTTCTCTCAAATAAAAAAACAAATGGAATTAGCAGAGATCTGAAAACTAATGTGGCAGATATCTTTTGAGGAAGTGAAACAAGCTACATAGTATAACTGAAATCACAATATGGTTTTAAAATACCATATTTTAAATGGTATTTTAAATACCATATACTATGAAAGAAAAATTCATAAAAATAACACAATATGGCAGTCAAGAAAAAAGTTTATTCGAACCATTCCTATTTCTTTTTTCTCACACATATACAACATACACCACACAGAAAAATATAAATGGCAGCATTCCTTCTCTCTCAATCTCTCCTACACCTCTTTCCCCTTTTGTTTCACCTAACTTCACGGTAGAAGTGTTATGTAGACTCCAAAGCTGCTCTCTTCTTTGTGATGTTTTAATTAGTCTTTTCAAAGAGATTTGTTTTTGGGAATTGAGTATTGGATTGGGTAATCTAGAATTTATAATTTTCTGTTATCTCTCTGGTATTTGTAGGCTGAGGCATTTACACAATTATTTTAGCTGAGATAAGCTTAAATGTTGTATCTACTAATTCCTATTTATTTATTTAAATTTATTATGTCCACTCATAAGACTCTGAACAACTGATAATATCCAAATATACAATTAAAATTAAAAAAAAAAAAAAGACATGGCAGCATGGATTGAAAACAGCCCTGCCAATAAAACAACAAACTGTCCCCAGCCTGGGAACTGAGCCAGGCCTTAGGGGCTTTCCAGAACCCCAGAAGAATGGGTGTTGTTGTCCCTATCTCTGAGGCCATGGTGTTTTAGAGTATGGGGCAAAGAAGGCATGCTTTCTTGCTTTAATCAGATGAGTTTCAATTGAGAATTCCTGGAGGACACACACTTTGCCCGAATGTAGTGGGTGGGAAGAAGCAATGGAAGATAGATAGTTCCTCAGATAACCATGAAGGGCTTTATAGGTAACAACCAGCACCTTGAACTGTACCTGGAAGCCAATTGACAACCAGGTCCGTTTGAAACACACTGTAACATGGGCATAAAGAGAAGTGACCATTAATGCTTGAACCACTGCATTTTGAATAGCCGTAGCTTCATGAGGGTCTTCAAGGGAAGCCTCACATAGAGTACATTGCAATATCCAATCATGAAGTGATTAGGGCATGAATGACCTTCTTAAGAGCCTTCCAGTCAAGGAAAGGATGCAAGTGGGGTGGAAGATGAATCTGCGCAGAGCTACCACTTGCTCATTGATAGTAGTTGCAGACCTATGAAAACCTCCAAGAAGCAACCCCATCCAAGATCAATGGCTGAAATGTTCCCTGTTAAGGGGCGCCAAGCAGCCACAGCCACTCAGTTTTGTCAGAATTGAGTCCAAGGCTGATCCTTCCCATCAAGACCTGAACTTTTAATACACTGGGGTCAGTACATTGAAAGTTTTACCTGTGTAGTCTGGAATTGGGATGTAATGCTGCCTATCTGTTGGATCCCAAAATGACAGATGAACGTACCTAATGGTTTCATATAGATTTTAGAGCTGCTTCTAATTCAAGGGGAATATTAATGTTCTCTTTTTAAGATCAACTATGTCTCAATGACTTTATAATATATTTTTCATAACACCCAATTTCTTATAATTTTGGCTTCAAAATAATAATTGGCTTATTATTGTTTTTAATGCTTTTATTTGTAAAGCTGGTCTATGACTGTAATAGAAATTGATTGATTTGGCTTCAAATTAGTTTAAATTATACTATTATTTCTGCATGTCATAGAAATTATTTGCAAGAATAATAAGGCTCTGCACTAATTTGAAAATGTTTCAGAAGAAATATGCAAGCACAGCATCTCTCCGCTGATATCAGCTTCACTTTTTTTAGGCTTATGTGGAAGCCTGAAAAAAGGATGCAGTAACTGTAAGAATCCTATTAAGCGGACTATTAAAACAGCTATTTTCAAGGCTACATAGAAGTCTAAAAAAGTTGGGCTGCTTATGTAAATAGCCAAGAGTTTCTGTGCTCATATAGAGTCTGAGGTATTTATTCTGAATCCTTTTTGAAGGTGCATAGAGTCAAAGAATACTTAACAAGAAAGAAAGTTCTCTGTAGAAAGATTCTCGACTTGTGTTTATGTATCTGTGCTATTTTTGTACTTTTGCTAACAATACTGTTTTCTTTTGATACTGCCCCTTGGATGTTGATTAGCCAAAAGCAAGCTATTCTAAATACATACTTGATGTTTCTTTTAACATTTGGAAACTTCTCTTACAAATATATTTATCTTCTCTTTTTCTTCTTTTTTCTGTATTGGCAGAGCATCTTGGATTAGAGTTAAAGGGTATGAAACAAACCATTCATTTGTTAAACAGACACCATAGTTCTTCACATTATGTTTTTACAGTTTTTATGGGGTGACCAAGAATATCAGCTGTTCATCTCTTATTCTGGCACAGTTTGGGGAAAAATCATGTATATGCATATGTACAGTATATGTATATACATGTGCCTATACAGTATACACATGCAGTCAAAAACCAGTTTATCTATATTAATATAAATATAGATAACTCTGCCTGGATGCACTGAAGCACTTTTCTATGGGGCTCAGTGAGACCAGAAGTAAAGTGCTGGCTCAGTAGCACTTTTGTGCCATTTTAGTCTGCGCTTTTTGGAGATCAAAAAAATTACCTAGGTCAGTTTGGAAAATCACAGCCTTGTGTAACTATAATAGTGGATACAAATCCTAGTAAAGAACAGATTTGTACTAAAAAAAAAGTTATAGCAATTCTACAAAACCAATCAAAGTCAAATTTACAACCATTCCTTCGCACCTCATTTAATTTCATGCTAGTTTGAGAATATTTCTTTTAAAAGGATTGACCTAGCAGCAAAACAATATTGCAGCACTCCCCCCTTGGATCAGCAGAATTTGTATTGCTCCAATTTGCTTCTTCCTCCAAAAGATTTTCTATTAGTAAAAGGGGAAAGGGGAGATTGCAGTACCCCTGTTATATATACCCTCAATGTTTTCTCCAGAAAATTAGACTGAATGAATGCAGAATGCAAGTGCAAGGCAGGAGAAATAGCAAGTACTTTAAGATGTACAATATTAAATCTTTGATTTCCAAACACATAGACTTCTACATGAAGGAACATGAAGAATATCCCCAACTCCAATGCAGGAACATAATCCAGCAGTTTACAACCTCAGACTTCTATAGGAATGTTCATAGAAGTGCACATGCCTTCATGAATGGGAAAAAGCCAAAAACCATACATGCCCAAGAGTCACTGGCTACATTAATGAGGGAGAATTGCTATGTATTTGAATTTCAGTGATAACTATTCCAACGGGGTGGGAGAATGCTACCTCTTAATACCTGTGCATAATGTGAAATACTTTCTCAGTAATGCTGTATGCATAAATGCCAGGTGCAACACATTGTCCTGCAGAGCAAATAGCTAGAGAAAAAAGGGCAGCCTAAAGGGACCCACCTGATCCCTCTCATAGGCTTTCTTCCAGGAGTAGTAACACTGCCACTTGATGGCCAGTCAACTCTCCGATGTATGGTGCTCTCAATGGTCTTCAAAGTGACCCAATGTAATGTGGCCGCTGCAAGCACCACACATTGAACTATTAGAAAACATAGCCTCCTACAGCACCTGTTTTATTGGTGGATCCAATGCCTGGAATAGCTACTTCATTGCACCTAGTAATGGGAAGACACATTGTCAGTGAATGAATTTTAAGTCACTTTTCATGTATTCATTGAATGCATGTTTTATTCATTTGTCCTTTATCCTATTCTGTATAATTCCATGCCACTGGAATTGCTATCTTTAAAAAACAAAATCTGGCAGAAATTTGCAGCATAAGGAGGGATCAATTCTGGTCTAAATGTCTTATTCTTTTCCAACTGAAAATTGAAGTTCATAGTTTCCTAATTAAAAAACTATTAGTTTCAAGAGGAAATCAACATTTTTACACTAATTAACAACAGCTAAATGCACACACAGATAACAAAGCTTGTTTATGTTCAGGAATCATTCCTGGGAATAGAACCAGTGCTGCCTTTCTTAGCCCCTGGGCTTTTCTCTTTTTCCTTATGAAGGTGAATTACATTTGTTTATCATTAGTGCTCAGTCAACCATTTCCATTTCCACCTATTAAAATTTTCTGTTCCTTCTGCCAGTGGGTATCGTTCTTGCACCTCTGAACGGCTGAAATTCAGCAAGGTGATTTCCAGCCATTTGAGATTTGGAAGGAGAACATTAGGGAGGAATTGCAGTGTTTTGACTCCCAGAAGCCTCCTGCTTCCACTTGCACAATTAGTGGATGGGTAGGAGAGAAGAAAAGAAAGTCAGTAGTGCCCTCTCCCCACCAAACTGTGTACGATGATGGCTCTGATGGAATCATCCCGATCCTTACAGGAGAGTTGCTACAGCATTTAGTAGTGCTAATTCCAAACTGACCTATGAGAATATAATATTTTTCATGCATTATCATCATGTTCTTTGTGATGGAAACCACTTTTCCACTTCTTTGATTTATTTTTGTTCCTAGGAATGCTAGTTTCCTATTTTATATGCTATATGACAAAAATTTACACATTAAAGACTAATTGTGCCAATAGCAGCTTGTGTATCAGATTTATACTACCACACTTGCCATGCTTAAATAGGAATATGTCTCACTGAATTCAGTGAGATCTGTTTTTAATAGATAAATTTGACTGGAAATTATAAATCCTTCCCAGGAGCAAATCTTGTGTAAATGAAAAGCATAATGTGGAAAGTGGCCTCGGATTGACATTGCTATTGATTCAAAAACATTCTGACTTGCTATTTTGAATTGAGGATTTTTGACATTCATTCCTGACTTATGCTTGTTTCGCTTTATTTAAAAATCTCTTTCTTTCTAGGCTGACTGTTGTGCCAATAAACTTATTTTGCCATGCTGTCTCTTCTTTTTTTCATACTTTCTGCCAGCCATGTATTTCCTGTGATGCTCATGAATGACATTATGTCACATGTGCTGGTTTGCACTTTATATTTTTTATCATAGAATGATAATTTGTGATATGCAGTCAAAAATATCACAGATATATCACATGAACAATTGTGTTATCCCAATGTCTTATAATTAAGTAAATTTTGATTTACATTGTCTTGTGTTCTTCTGTAATTCTTCTGTAAGGTTCATACAGTATAAATATACACATATTGTTTTATTTACTTACTGCAAAGCAAAGTGATAAATTTCTTTCCAATTAAGCAATATATTTTGTTGTGTGAAAGTATCACAACTATATACTTAACAGAATCATCAATAATAAGATTTAGTTGTGAATCTTTGTTGGAAATGGTTGAATATTGAAATATTTTCCAGTTCTCAAATGGAAGTTTGATCAGTCCAAGTAACTCTGCTAAATGACTAGGAGAATCATAGCAAATATTATTTTCTTAATAGTTTTATTCTTATCTGAAATTTATGGCTGGTAAACTTGCAAAAATCTACACAATATCTTAATGATGTGTATTTTTTGCAGTAAGGGCAAGTATATTTACCAATTTGAGAATTAACATTTGCTACATTCTTAAATAGGTTTACTGAAACTGTTTCCCTTTGTTTTAAATCCATCATTATGTACATTATACTAACGAGATCAATTTTTATAGCACAATTTGGCAGCTGTTTTTTAAATGAATTCTCCCCACTTTGAAAAATAAAAAATTAGAAATCATAGCAAAGATGGATAACTAATGCACATTGCAATTGAAATGGGGCAGATAAATTTCAAAACAGAAATAAGGAAGATAGAGTATTGATGGCTTTTCAGTTTCACTGAAAAGCAGAACAAATTACTTTCTGAACATGAAGACTAGATTTGTAATTTCTTAATGCATTCACATTTCAAGAGTCAGGTATGGATTGAAATATAAACATGTTAAGGCTTTTGTGATTGAAATGTAGCACAATTGTTTCCAGGTACTTTCTTATCTGAAGTTAAAAGCAACTGTTCCTTTAACAGAGTTTGAAATGTAAAATCTATAGCTTATTTGCATAACTAATGCATATCACTTTTCCTTCTATATAATGATCTGACATTTACAAGAACAGCAGGAGAGAAACTCAAAGGAGAAATAAGCATGATGTGTGAAAACACTTTAAAAGTTAGCGAGTGGAGTGGAATTCAAATTATAATTCGTTTCAGACATCCTGAAAATCTTAGCACTTCTAGCTAAATTTCTCAAGTTTTTAAAGTGCATGAATTGCTTTAGTTTCACAATTTGACAAGCCAAAACTACTGACAGTAACAGCTAGAGTCTTTTTTCCTGAATGTGAAGTTCAAATAGATGTATTGCATCTCCCTTGCTAAATTGCTGTATGCACTCTCTTGTTCAGTCTTCAGAAATTCTAGAAATTGCATCACTGAGAAACATAAATGTGTTTCTCCCACCCACTGTTTAATGTAAAAATAAATTAAAATGACAAATAAGTATTCAGGTTTACACCCCACCCCACACCCCACCCCAAATTCTTGCAACCTTATACATTTGAAAACACCATCCCAGAAATCTTGGGGCTTCTGGATGCTCTTTTGGGTTGGTATAGATCAGAGACATACGATCTGACTTGTTTTTGTTTGTTTGACTGGCTCAGAGGGTGATGTTTTTCAGGATCTGGGTACAGCAGGGAGACTATTTCTTATTTTTTTACTCTACATTTGTATTTATAGGCTTAATCCTAATCTAAGGTGACCAGATTTTAACATTGGTAAAGCGGGACACCCACCATTTTGTGGGCGTGGCTTAGAGGTCACGTGACTGGGTGGGCGTGGCTAGCTGGTCATGTGACCAGGTGGCCATGGCTATGTGTATAGAAAAAAGTCATTTCTGACAGGTCCTCGCACTTTTGACTGGTTCTCATACTTATGACCATCCTCACATTTATGCCCGTGCAGCATTCTTAACAACCATGTCACTCATTTCACAACTGCTTCTCTTCACCATGATGACAAGATAGGGCAAAAATGTAAAATGTGAGGACAGTCGTAAGTTCGAGGACTGGTCAAAAGTGTGAGGACCAGACCAGTCAAAAATAACTTTTTCAGCCCTCTGAGTAGTCCATATGCATAAAAGGATACAGCAATAGAGAGGGATGAAGGAAGAGAAGGGAAATTAAAGTAGGAGTCAGGGTAAGAGGGAAGAAGAGAGGAGGAGAAGGAGAAAGGAAGAGGAAGTAGGGAGGAGAAGAAGACGGGGGGAAGAGAAAGTAAGAAGGAAAGAAAAGAGAGAGGTGATAGGTTTGAGGAGAAAGATTGCTGTACAAAAAAA